AGTTGTCTAAGTGTGGCAGATGTTGATGGAAAGGTACCCTCAGAGGCACTGAGACATAGCACTTTAAATGTATATCAATCATATATCACATATCAGGCTTTATAAATGAATAATCTGTCACTCTCTGCTTGGATGTGTACACTGCTTTTATGCTGATTTTACTAAAAGTTAAAAAAGAAAAAAAAGATTTAGACATGAGGAACATATAACCATGTGAAAAAGTCCTTTCAGTTTGAAACTGGGTTAATTTATGTCCCATTTAAGTACAAAGTTTTTATGGATTTTGAAGGATGGTGAAGTCATACTGGAAACACAAAAAGGTCCAGTGTTCCAAAGAAAAAGCTGTAATCTCCAGGTCTCTTTAATGACATCATGCATTTGGTTTGGCAGCTGCCCAAACGGGAAGGGAGGAGATGGTAAGCTGGTTTATGTTGTAACAGTTTATGGCCACACATCATACCTTTGGGTTTTGCTCTTCATTAAACAAACAAAAACTTGTCTGTAGCACATATATGTCAGTACAAATCGCTACTAGATTTCCAATCCAAAGCAATATTCTTGCAACTATTCTTATTAGTGAAAATGAGTTATATCCAGATATTATATAGTATATAAGAGTTCCTCACATATTACCTTAGAATTAGTTAATTTGCTAATAAAAGTAAGCATAAGCATATATCTATAAACATACGGCATATACATAAAAGAACATTTTCTTCTCATTTAAATATATGCGGACTGACGCCCCAAACAAAGCGCATCACCTGTTGCGTGCCATAGTGCGTGAAATAAGCAGCTGATTTCAGAGTAATTCAAGCATGTTACGTATTTCCACACGGACCCTTTGCGTCATTAACTTAAATGTCTGAAATGTAAGGAAGAAAAGTAACAATTACGCATTTTAAGTAAGTTAGTTTTTGGCACAAACATCCTTGTTTCACATAAACTAAAGCGAACTTAAGCAGCTACCTAATAATGTGCCGCGGTTTGGACTCACCTTTGCAACGCGTAAAGATGAGCGCCTTTCACTCTACGCCAGCAGTGCGTCCAGTGGGTTTGGCCGAGAGGTGAAATCTGCTGAGGCGACGAGGCTTTAAAGACAGGGGGAGCAAAGGAAGAAGAGAAAAAAAAAAGCTTGAGGACATCAGCCAAACCTCTGTAAGCGCTCATAAACAATGACCTCAGCCAGGAATTTACAAGCCCTCTTAGCGAAGTTCTCGTCGGTCCCGCAGTCAAGACAAACGAATCGTTTATCATTTATCTGCATCGACGAGCACCGACACTTTTACATTCATTAGTGAGTGTCACGGCAGGTCTGCGCCACAGGAAACCTGTGGTATGAAATTATTAACGCTCGCTACATTTATTTTCATTTTTTCATACTACAAAAAAATAAATAAATAAAAATTGCCTGACTTGTTAACTTCACACACTTTTTGTCCCACTTCTGTGCTGGTCTCACTTGCCTCCTTCTTTGGTAACGAATAGACGAATAACATCAAGATGACTCATTCTAAAACTCAAAGTAAATACTTGCAGCTTGCAAGCTTAAGCCCCAAGCTTCTTCCAGCACAATTACAAAGTGATGATTAAATGCTGAAAAGGTGCTGCTCTTATGTAACACAGATGGCACCTTTTATAGCCGTAACCGCCAATGCATCATCGCTTGAACTCCATCCACATCCATCCACTGAGAAACACCAGGCCTGTGAAAAAGATGACTGATGATCCAGTTGTTTGTAAAGTTAATTTAATGGTCAGAAGGTCCTACTTGTCGTTTTAAAGGCTGTCATGGTTAGTCAAACACCTGGCATAAATACAGATTCATTCATTCAGCTCATTGCCGACGCCAAAAAACACATTATATCTATTTATTTCCAGCCATATGCATCTGCGTGCCTACTTAATAATAAGCCGCTAACTGCAAACACGTCACATTACTGTAAGCACACAGCAACTGTTGTGACATAAGAGCTACAACATTGATTAGAGCCATGAGTTCAGGTTGTGCAGGTCCTTGCAAACCTTGTCATAAATGTATAAATTCAAAGGTGCGCAGGGAGAAAAAATGTCTTCTGCAGAGCATCAAACTTTCTCTGATATTGTTATATCAACCATGATTTTTTAATAAAATAAAAGTAATTTGCAGTTATTTGTCTTCAAAAACCAAATACGCCGACTCATGTGAGGAATGTGTGAAATGTAAACAGCTCTCAAGTCAAGCCTGAAGCAAAGTGGTCCTGTAAAATTACCATTTCCTCTGTGGAGTGTAAATCCAGGGTACAGACATTCTTGAGCACACTGGAGGGAGTTGTTCCCATATTAGGAGCACG